GGTCCAACTTCATTCTTTTGCATATGAATATCTGCACATCCTTTTAAAAAAGTAATGTTTTTATTTTAGAGTAATTTTAAACTTAAACTTACAGAAAGTTGTAGGGATAGGGTACAGAGTTCCCACACATCCTTCAGCCAGTTTCTCCTAACATTATCAAACACCCCATGATTATTTGTCAAACTAAGAAGTTAACACTGGGTCAGCACTAATGACTGTGTTGTAGACTTTATTTGGATTTGACCAGTTTTTTCACTCGTGTCTTTTTACTGTTCCAGGGTCCAATCCACAATACCACATTGCATTTAGTGTGCATTTTCTTTGACTAACTGTAACTAACCACACTTAACTGAGTATTTCTTCTGCTTAAACATTTCTGACAGCAGTGTTCAGATCTCCTTTACACTTTTCTGGTGCCCGAGCTGTTGTTGCATCAGAAATGACCTTGATGGGATAAAAGTGGATTACGGGTGGCGCCGATAGGAGGGGAGGGAAAGTACTGACATGAGAAAGTTGTTCCGATCATGTGGAGAAGACGGCAGAGTGAGTGGTGGAGGGTGGAGATGCTAGTTCCCACTCATCCAGCTCGCTGACCTCAGCACATCGCTTTCTGTCCAGGTTCAGTGCACAAGCCCTGCGTGCAGAAAGTGGAGGCAGCTCACCAAGGAAGTCCAGCTCACTCCACAGATGGCGAAGACCTACCGGTGTGGTGTGAAGCCAAATACTGCTGCCAAGGTATGATCTCTGGTAGTTATTTTTTTTTAACTAATTGATGGGTTTATTTACTGGTTGCTGTATAGTAATGGGAGCAACATCTGTCCAAGTATTTTTTAAAAATTGGCTCTGTCTTGTCCCGTGGGAGTTCCTACGTGATCTGGGTGCGGTGGCTTGGATCTTGGGTATTTTTGCCCAGTCTTTGTTCTGCCTTTTCATTTTCTTTGTAGGTCTTTTGATGAACAGTTTTAATTTTGAAGCTTAGCGTATCCGTTTTTTCTTTTATGCTTAAAACTTTTTGTATCTTTTCTGAAAAATCACTGACTACCTCTCAGCTTACACAGATAGCTCCCTGGATTTTCTTCAAAGAGCTTTGTAGTTTGAGCTTTTATATTAAAGTCACTAATCTAGCACGTGTTAGTTTTTGGCTTTGATGGGAGGTATAGGCCAAGATTCAGGGTTTTTTTTTTTTCCTATAAATATTTCATTGATTAGTACCATTTGTTGAAAAGACTTTTTTTTTTTTCCTCATTGAATAATCTTATCTCTATTACCAAGCATCAGTTGGCCATACATGTAGGTCTATTTCTGGACACTGTTCCATTTCTCTCTTTGCTTATCCTTGCCAAGTACTCTGGTGTCCTGGTGATTCTATCTTTATAGTTAGTCTTAAAATCAGGTAGTGTAAATTCCTCCAACTTTGTTTTTTTTTTTGCAAGATTGTTTTGGCTATTTTAGGTCCTTTATGTTACTATATAAATTTTAGTATCAGCTTGTCAATATCTACAAAAAGGCCTCTGGGATTTTGATTGTAATTTATTCAGTTTATAGATTGGTTGAGATTGGTTGAAGGAAGATTGACTTATTTATATTTTTCTGTCTTCTAATCCAGGAGTTAAACACTGTGGGCTAAATTTGGATCCCTGCCTGTTTTAGAAAATAAAATTTTATTGGAACACAGTTTGTGTTGAATAGAAATTGGAGAGAGCAGGCATCCCTGCCTTATCCTGACCTTAGGAGGAATGTGCTCAGTATTTTATCGTTTTGTACGATATGGGCTGTAGATTTCTGCAGGTGCCTTTGATCAAACTGAGGAAGTCCCTTACTGTACCTAGTTTGCTGAGAACTTCTTGAAATGAGTGAATGTTGAATTTTGTCAAATACTTATTGAACATCATTCATGATGTTCATGTGGTTTTTCTGCTTTAATCTATTACTGTGTTGAATTATACTGATTCTGGAATGTTGAAATCACCTTGCATTCCTGGGGAGGCAGGAATCCCACTTGTTCTTAATGTATTAACCTTTCAGTGTATTATTGGATTCAGTTTGCCAGTATTTTGTTGAGGATTTTTGTGTCTGTTTTCATGATGGATATTATCTGTCATTTTCTTTTCTAACAATAGCCTTCTCAGCTTCTGCTGTCCGAGTTATGCTGGCTCCATAAAGTACATTGAAATGATGAGCCCCTTCTATATTTTGTTAAAGAGTCTGTGTAAGGTTGATATTATTCTTTAGTGTTTAGTATATGTCATTGGTGAAGTGATTTGGGCCAGTTGTCTGTGAGTAGTTTGGAAATTTGGGGTTCAGTTTCTTTAGCAGATCCATGGCTCTTCAGGTGGTTTGTCCTACCAATTTTAAAAAGCTGTGTTTTTAAAGAAATTTGTCTATTTTGTCTGCATTGTCAAAGTTGTTATCTTAAAGTTGTTTGCACTGTTTTCTTATTCTGTTAATGTCAGTGGGATCTCTGGTGGTGTCTGTGTTTTATTCTGATGTTGATAATTTGGAAGTGAAGGGTAGAAAGCACAGATCTAAGACCAGGATCCTATAATTAACAAGTCTTGTCCTAAAACGTTTCAGTTTAGACCTACATTGATTCTTGACCTCCATCTTCAGAGCAGAAGGCATATCCGAGGGACAGAAGAGAAAAAAGTGGGAGGAGGCTGACATGGTTGGGGAGCAATTCATTTTCCCAGCTGAGTGGTGCCCTGGTGAGAACTGGGGTTTGAGCAATGAAGGTAGCATGAGCCTGTGTGTCGAGGGGAGTGTGGCTAGCCGGCCCAAACAATGTGGTCGCAGTGAACCGAACTAGCACCTGTGCCCCAATTACTTCTCAAGTGAAAAGTATCGGCAGTGGCATTTCATTATAATACGTAAAGCAGAGTTCAGCCAAAGAGCCGTCAAAGGGGGCAGACTGTCTTAAGAGGTACTAACCTTTGGGCTATTTTTCCTCACCCTATTTCTACAAGGTTTCTAAACAATTTAGGAAATTTTGGGGGATTTACATAATAATGTTATGTTACCCAATAGTAAGTGTTATTTTACATGAAAAGTTTCTATTAAAATCGTTTCTTACTCTTCTCTGACTAGCTTTGGTTTATCTGTGCCTCGGAGCCACCAGGGTTCTTCTGTGTCCTTCCTGCTGGTTATGGAGTGTGCGGCCTTGACCGCAACTCTACTGACTGTCCAGGTCATCCGGGTCCCTCTTCTCGTTCACTTGATGTTTCTTTGGGTGGTAATTGTCACTTCCAGTTTCTTCAATTTAAGTGGTTTTTGAAAAGTCTAAGATTTTCTATAGGATGCGTTTGTTTTTAGACAAATGTTATGTGTGCATCCTTGAAAAATCCAAGCAATAAAGAAGAGAGCAAAGGTGGTAACCAAAAAATCATGCATTTATCACTGTCCGTAACCATCACTGAATGACATTCGTCCGGGAGTATCCCTGCCTACATCCAAAGGGAAGGCCTGGCTGATAAACACATGCTGGTTTTATATGACATGAGTGAGTTTACTACAGTGAAATTTCAAGTAAGAAAAGGAAGCCAAAGTGAAACAGGAAATTGTTGAACATATGATAATAATGTCTTCATCTCAAAAAATAGTAGTTTCTAAAGGGACCCAAAAAGGCTAAGAAAATATATAAGAATGTTAAGAGATTGGGATCACTTTTTAACAATTGCATGTTCCAATTAGAGAAAGTGACTCCCTGCCGTGAAGAAGAGAAAAGGAATGACGGCCCCCTTCGGTCCGCCCGCCCTCTCCGGCTCCCAGGTGTTGTTAGTGTGTGTTGTTCTGTTTGCTTTCCAGTTCGCTGTGTTGGTATAAGTGTTGTGTCTACTTTCCGCGACTGTACCCCCTCTGTTGTTCACTCTTGCTTCTGGAGTTAGCAGCTCCCACTGTGTCCCTCGCCGCAGTTCCTTCTACCCAAGATCTCCGTTTTGATTTCTCACATGGTTGGTGTATTTGAACATGAAGTACCTTCTTCCAGGAGGGCTCAGAGGTGTCAGATTCCTTAAGTTTTTGAAAACTTAACTGCCTTTCTCTCTTCCCACTTTCTTAAAATTGAAGGCTTAGGATCTTAAGTCCCAGCTTCTAAGTGCGGTGTCACATCTTTCAGATCTCTTTTCCCCCCCAGGAATCCTCCTCTGAGACCCTGCTGCTCCCGTCTGAACTGATTGCCCGATCTGCAGCCTGTACTTTTGAAATATTTATTTAAATGTTATTTATTGACCCAGAGTTACTTTGTCTTTTCAGCTTGGTATTCTGTCAAGGACAAAGTCTGGAAATGCTTATTTGTCAAAGAACATTAACCAGAATGGTAGCAAAGGACACACACTTTTGGAGCTCGCTTTTGTCATCTAATGTATCTTAAAGATGACTTCATATCAGTACAGAAAGATTTCTTTCTCTTCAGAGATTGTATAATAAATAGTCAACTGAATGGAAGTATCAGGATGAATTTTGCCCGATTGAATGGGTTTAGGTGACTTGTAAACATTTATCATTACTGGCAGTGCTGCAGGGAATAGCTTTATATCTATGTCATCTTTTAATGTATTTGTAGGGTCCATTCTTACAAATGGAATTTCTGTGTCATGGAGTACATGCAGTTATTTTAATATGAAATGAATCATAGTCACAAAGAGGACTTACAATTTGTATATAAGGGGTAAAGAATTAAAGCAAACATGTGCCCAGCACCCAGTCTTAGAGCTCAGAGCCTGACCAGTGCCTCTGACTCCCTGGGTGCCTGCAACCGGCTCTCTTCCTCTCCCTGCCCTGCGAGGGTAAACAGGCACCTGAATTTGGATTTATTATTCCCCTGCCTTTTGTTAGATGGAGTCAGTACCTATTTATGAAACCCTAAACAACATGTAAGGCCTTCCACGTTTTTGTGCTGGTTCTGGATTGTATCATATTCTTTGTATTCCTCTGCCACTTGCTCTTTTTAACTCAGTGTTGAGGTTTCTCCTCTGCACTCAAGGGGATGCCTAATGCTCTGGGTCGTGAGTTTTTCCTTCTGCTCCGTGTGTTATGTTCCTGAGCACTAGGTGTGATTTTACATAAAAAGGGCTTTGGAGTATCCACTGTGTACATCTATCTCGAGATGTGTTCTCCCATCCACGAACGTGAGGCTGTACCTAGTGTTGGGCTGCCCGTGCAGCGCTCCTGTGAGGCGCTTGCTCCCCCGCTGCACACGCGCAAGGGTTTCTCTGCAGTATGTTCAAGGGCCAGATTTGCCCGGCCATGGGCTATGCCAGTCTTCAGTTTCTTGGGGAACGTTTTTATCGAGATATAACACACAGACAGAAAATGCACACATCAAAACACACACAGCTCAATGAATTCTTAGAGTCTGCATTGGCGAGTGCCCAGTGAAGAAACTGAATACTCCCCAGACCCTCCAAAGCCCCCTCATGCCCCGTCACTCACAGCCTCCCACCCTACTCCCCACCCACGAGGCTGTTCAGCTTGCTGCGCTTTCTCGTGAAGAGAATGACAGCGTGTTCCTGGGGGTCTGGCTTCCTTCTCTCACTACGACGTGTGTGAGGTGCGAACCCCCTGCAGGGGGGAGTCGTAGGTTGTTCATTCTCATTGCCGTGGCCGGGGCCATTGTTTGAATGTAATGTTATCGATTCATCCATGTGACCCTCGATGGACTTCCAGCTTGTGTTCAGCCTTTTCCTATTGCAAACAGTGTGCTTGGGACCTTTTCTAATACTTCCGTTGGCACACATGTGCACGGGTCTCTCTGGAAAATACAGCAGGATTAGAATTGCTGGACATGTATGTACATCCTCAGTCATACAAGATGATGCCAAGTTGTCGTGCATTCAGGAATTTCATATCCTGTCCAGTTGCTCCCAGAGCCTTACTGCACCGTTAGATCCCCCCACACCCTCGAGGGAGCAGCTGCTTTACTCCTGTGGTGTTTAATCAGTTGGGTCGTTTGCCAGCCTGATAGATGCAAAGTTGTATCTTATTGAGGGTAAATTGACACTAAAACTATATTTTATAAGTAAACCCAACTAACACGTGGTTTTCTTTTGCAGCCTGAGACCTCGGATCATTGTTCCCTTCCAGAGGATCTGGTGAGTATTTCTGCATTTTCTGCACAGGAGTTCACTGTGCCTTCAAAAACAAATAAGTACTCTACGTAAGTAACTCTAAGAGCTTTACGAGTGCCTTTATCTGGCTGCTGGTCAAAGGCTTTCAATCTGGCATGGTGACTGTGATGGGAATACCAGCCATAGTGGCAGCGCGGGTCATTACCCCCCAACTTAAAAAAAGGTGAAGTTGAATCGCTGTCTTACTCCAACAGCCACACTGTTAGGCTTGTTTTTCGTGGGTGACTTTGTGACCTCACCTCTGCTTGATGCCTTCTAAGAAAAGAACAGGAGGACCATCATTTGATGGTCGTGGCCCAGATCCAGCTGCGAGGGTGTTCCCGGGTGTCCGACCTCAGCTCAGCTGCCTTGCCCTGCCCGCCCCGTGGTGGGTGGGGCACCTCTCCCGCCGGCAGAGCCCGGCGCCTGTCATTGTCTTAGGGAATGTTGCTGTCTCGGCTGCCAGACTCCACGGGCCCTGGGACCACATCCATTTGTTTCACAAAATGGTTTTTTAAATTTCCGAGTTCCTAAAATTCTGAGGTTCTGAGTTATTCTGCATTTCAGTGATTGAGGATTGTTAATTTTCAGTTTTCCTAGATGTCTGAAACTCAGGGACTGTGATTGGTTTTTAGACAAAAGAGAATTGATACCAAGCAAATCTGTTTTAAATCTGTTTTGTTGTGTATGAGATACACACACACACACACACACACACACACACACACACGCACACATACACATACACTTTAACAAAATAATTATTTGAACCCTCAAACATTTCCATAGTAAAGCAGTGGCCTACAGAATTTCTGGATGTGGAGTAGATAGACTGAAAGCATAGAAAGAAAAGAAAAATAACCTTAAACACAGTTACAGGACCTTATGAATCTGTCTCCTAATATTCAGACCATTTTGCATGCAGAAGAGTCTGAACTTCAGGACAGAGGCTGTATTCTTGGAATATAAGAACTTTTACAAGTTTGGTAGAATCCCTGGATGTTCATCTACTAGTTATTTATTTTTGAGTTTGGTTAAGAAAGAGTCAGGGGCAGGTTTATAGACATATTACCTAACTAGACTGTTTTCTGTGGATTCTCGGGTCACTTTTAAACAGTTCCTAAATTGAGTGCCCACGTTAGTGCCCTTGGCCTGCACAAATCACCACGGCAAACGGGTGGTGTAAAGCAACAGGAATTCATTGTCTCACGCTTCTAGAGCCTAGAAGACTGAAACCAACATGTAGTAAACAGGAGAATGTGTGCTTCAGGTTTGGACCCTGTGAGATTTCCAGGGCAAACAGAAGGGCATCCACAGAGGGGATCCTCCCTGTCGGCCTCGAGCTCTCAAGCCCTTGTCTGGTGGCAGGTGGTATTCGGTCGGGCCTGGGGAACTGACATCAGAGGGTCCCTGGCCCCAAGGTTTATCCCCCATCAGACTGTCATGATTCTTGGGGCGTACATTCAAGATGACGTTTAGAAAAGGCTGTCTGTTCCAGGACCCGTGGCAGTGGTACCGTAGAGGCCAAGTACACTCGATTTTATTCCAATAGTCAGTCATCGTGGGGTTACTTTGACCCGATGACTCCCTGTGTTAAAGCAACTCTGGAATGTGATCAGGTATTTGAAGACTGAAATAGTTTTTTTCGTTCTATTCTACATTTAGCATCTTATTTTGATGATTGTTGTGTACTTTTCTCTGAAGATGTTTTAGTAGCCTCTGGTGAAAAGCAACAATGCTAGAGAATTATTTTTTTCTGCCCACTTTCACCATTTCAGTTATCTTCAGATCCTCAGTAAAAAATGGGGGATGGAAGGTAAACGGTTACTGAACAGGAAGAAATGTCACATGTCAGACTTAAACCTAGGCTTGCAGTATCGTCAGCCGGTGTGGGTGGGATTTTCCGAGCGGGGACAGGGGTGGAGGCAGAGCAGAAGGCTTGGGGAGGAAGGGCCTGAAGGGAATCCTCCCCCGTCCTTGGCCGAACCTGCCGAACATTTCCTCCCGCCCTTGCCTCGCTCTGCCCCACTGCAGAGGGTGTCGGAGGTGTCCAGCCACTGGTGGTACTCCATGCTCATCCTGCCTCCGCTGCTGAAAGACAGCATGGCGGCGCCCCTGCTGTCCGCCTACTACCCCGACTGTGTGGGCATGAGCCCGTCCTGTGCCAGCACCAGCCGCGCAGCCTGCAGCGCCAGCCCCGGCAAGCTGGAGCCCTCGAAGGCGGCCCCCGCCGCCCCGGGTGAGAACTGGGCCCGGCCCTCCCTGCTCCCCGCCCTCCCCGCCCCTGGAAGCGTGCGTGGCAGCGTTGGGTCCCGGGTTTGGCTGTGTCAGGAGCAGTTGTAGCCTTTGTATACCGGGCACAGGTCACTTTCCCCTCGATAATTTGGGAAGCCTGCAGCACCTACCCGGTGAACGCACAGGGATGTGCGTTGACAAGTATGTATTTGGAAGTTGGGTGGCCGCGTGGCTTGATGATGTAAACTCTGATGTGCCAGAAGGAGTTTCGACTACACGAGCAACCCTTTTTTTCTCTCTGAGTCTTCTCTGTCTAATTATGCCATTGATAATCTCAGCAAAACAATCCACTCTTGCAAAAATTCAAAATTTCAGGGCAGGCATGCTGTTGACCATTTACAGGAATCTTTAAAATTTTCGGTGTACAAGCAAGAATGAATTCTAGATCTGCCTGCACATAAGCAAGCTTCATAGTTAATGGTGCAAATAGATTTTGACCCTTGCGGTCCTCTCACAAGGTTTTTAGCTAATTACACCGGGCCATCTGAAAATGCAGACATGGCTGCTATCAAAGCTGACGTGCTGACTCCTGCGGTTAATTTAGGCGGAATGAAGCAGGCTCTCTGGGACTAGCAGGCGTCTGCATTCATGAAGGACAGTTTAGCAGTGTGAGTCAAAGACCTGACTGTATATACTCTTTGGCCCTGGGAATTTATCTTGCATAAACTATCAAACTTATTATCATAAATCCAAGTTTGTGTTGCATTGTTTATCATCGTGAAATTACTGGATGAAATTTAGATGTCCAGTGATTACATATGGTTAAAAAATAAGAAAATACTGTATGGCCACTGATGTCATACTTCATGACATGGGACAGTGTTCTTGCAAAGCAGGTTAAAAAACAGCATTTCTATAGAGTGTTTTTCAGTATTGTAAAAACAAATACGTAATGTATTAATATTCTCTATTCATAGAGACAGATTTAAGGATGGACTGTACCGTTCAGTGTAGCCTGCCGCTCAAGGACTCTCAGGGCTTGGTGGTGGTTATTTACTTCTGTGAATCTATCCATTTTATAATCAGAGAAGTTCCAATAAAAGTCACTCTGAAAATACGTGAGGAACGTCCACAAAGAATGGGTGTTCAGTGGGTTTAGAGTTTCAGTCTTGCAAGACGAAGTTCAGGAGGTCAGTTGTACAGCATGAACACACTTAACACTGCTGAGCGACACCCTTAAACATGATTGGCAGGGCAGATTTTATGGTATGTGCTTTTTACCACGATGAAAACTTAAATATTTTTTTTCCCATACCATGGACATGAAATCTGTTAAGAAAGAATGGGAAACACAGTTGTTGATTTCACGCCCGTTTGGTCTGATGGGCGGAGGAAGCAGAAGTCGTTGTGGAGGACGGACGGGGGAGCTGTCGAGGCCGCATTCGTGGCTTCGCTGCCCGGCTCACGCGCATGCAGAGGGTGCAGCCTGTAGGACCCCCCGTTTGTGTCTCCTGTCAGTTCCAGGCATGAACCGGTACTTCCAGCCCTTCTACCAGCCCAACGAGTGCGGCAAAGCCCTGTGCGTGCGGCCGGACGTGATGGAGCTGGACGAGCTCTACGAGTTCCCGGAGTACTCCCGGGACCCCACCATGTACCTGGCCCTGAGGAACCTCGTCCTCGCGCTGTGGTACGCCAGCTGCAAGGCGAGTGTGCGGGCGCGGCGGACACGCCTGCGGGGGGACGAGAGCTGCCCCCCCCAGGGCCGGGAGCTGCCTGTCAGGGATCTCCGCCTCGGCCCCGCCGACTTTCTGGGTGGATACTCTGGGGGCAGGGCACACCTCCTGCGCATGTGGGGTGTTTAGCGGCATCCCTGACCTCTGCCCACTAGGTGCCAGTAGCTCCCCCACCTGTGACAACCAGCATTGTCTCTAGATATTGCCAAATGGGTGCACAGCCTCTTGCTGAGAACCACCGCTCCGGACTGTATGTTAGCAGAATTCTTGACTCTCCCGTCAGTGAGTTTAAGGTGCGAAGTCTGGCGCCCAGAGTCTCAGTGGCAATGCCACAAGGAAAAGCAAGCAGGCATCCAAGACTGGGTCCTAAGCCCCTGGCGGGTGGGGACTCCTGTTTACCCATTTACTCAGACAGCTGAGGCCAGGGCTTCGCCCTCTCTTGGGACTGAATGAATGTCTGGGGCCTCACACGGCACTTGCCTGGAAAGGGATGGGGCTAATGGAATATGAGCTTTTGGTTTTAAACAAAAGCTTGCCTGAACCTAGTGTTTTCTGATGTAGTAATTTCTTCTTCAATTACTTGAGTGGCTGCTGAATGCAGAGCATTTTGCAAGGTTGCCAAAGTAATCTTGGTCAGAGAAAGTTGTCCGCTTCCCGCCCTCCACTGGCACATCACTGGATCAGAATGGACTCATACTCTAGGATGAGGGGACCTGACTGAGGTACAGCTCTTAGTGCCGTTCACAGAATTATACCCGGGCACGTAGGAGGGGCAAGGCAGAATTGCTCATTTCCTCCCAGAAGGCTTGGGGCAGGTGCTCAATAAACACTGGCTGAACTGAACACAATTGTGGTCAGAATTTCCTGTAAATAAGTTGTAAATATACACTTTTCAGAAATAGCCTCAGATTCAGTTTTCTTCGCATTTCTTTTTACTTGACTGTGAAATTGTCTTATACTGGGAAAAAACCTCATAGAAAAAAATCCAGAGTTTGTGAGCCTAGATCTACTTCAACTTTTAATAAGATGTATTATATATACTTATACAAGTATATATATAACTGTTTCTATATACTTACATATACATACATATATATATAGACACACATACTATATATGAATATAGTATGTATTATATACTTAATCCTTTAGTAGAAAGTCATAAATACGGTCACTTTGAAGGAATTGAAGACTTTGGAATGACTTTTTAACTTCATGAGTGCAGAGGTTTTTATCTCCTTCAGCAATCTGAGCCAATGTTGTGCGTGTTATTTCAAGAATATTTTGAATATATGGTCATCTTCCCGTGATCGGGCTCCGTTGGACGGGGGTTGGTGACGTGCAGAGGAGAGGCCAGAAGTGAGGACCCACCCCTGCCAAACTCTGTGCCTGTTGTAACTTCGTGATGCAGGCTGAGGCTGCATCTCTTTCGAATGTTTGAAATGGACCAAGGCCTTGCCAAGGTTGGGTTGAGCAGAGAAAGGCAATGTCTTTCCTTAAACTTTCTGGTTTGCCCCCCACGTCTTATCAGTGATGAGAACCGAGCTTGTCCTGCCGCCGGGGTGTCGCAGTGGCCGCCACTGTTCGAGTCGTTGACCCAGGGGTGTGCTTGCAGTGCGGCCTGTCCCCTGGCGTGGGGGTCCTTCTCGGCAAGGGGAATCGTAGGTGGCAGGACTCGGAGTGCCCTCTTTTCTTCTGCCCCTTTTTTCTTCTGTTTCTTCCCCAGGCAGGCCTCCCTGTGATCTCGCTGTGTCTTAGGGCTGAGTGATGGGTTTGAATTACCCCAAGAGCTCTTTTTATTGCTGTAAAATATACACAAAGTAACATTTCCCATATTGACCACTTAAAGCGTTGCAAAATGTGCAGTTCATTCGTCAGTATTAAGCACATGCTGTGTATAACCATCGCCATGGTCTAGTTCCAGAACTTTCTCATGCCCCGAGAGGAAACTCCACATCCACTAAGCAGTGACTTGCCATTTTTCCCTCATCGAGCCTCTGGCAAAACACTAATCTACAGAGTTGTATTATTTGCCTTTTCTGAGTATTTCAAATAAATCGATTCATTCGGTTTGTGGCCTTCTGTAAGTAACAACTTCGCATGGTGTTTTCAATTGATGTAGGACGGGTCACTACTTCATTTCTTTTTATGGCCCCCAGTACATTTTGTTTACCCACGCACCCACTGATGGATGGCAGTTTGAACAGTGTTGCTATGAATTCCATTTGGACGTACGTTTTCAGTTCTTTTTGGTACATGCAGGAGTGGAACTGCTGAATCATGCAGTAGTAATCCTATGTTTAACTTTATGAGGAATGAAGAGTTGTTTTTTTGTTTGTTTGAACAGTTTAGTTTTATTTCCAAACACAGGAAGCTCTTACTCCGCCGAAATGTATTCCTCACATCATCGTCCGGGGGCTCGTGCGCATCCGATGTGTTCAGGAAGTGGAGAGGATCCTTTATTTTATGACGAGGAAAGGTCTCATCAACACGGGAGTTCTCAGTGTCGGTGCCGACCAGCGTCTTCTTCCTAAAGATTACCACAGTGTAAGTGACGCCAGCGAGCCACACCGTTGGTCATCACATTATCCCTTTTGTACAGTAAGTGTGTCTCTGGCGGGGAGAAGATTGAGCACTATTTCCGTACACTGTAGAAAAGAGGAAGAGATTACTTACAAGTAGCACTGTTTTCTTTTTCTTTTTTTAATTTTTTATTAAGCTATTATTGATATACACTCTTATGAAGGTTTCACATGAAAAAACAATGTGGTTACTACATTTACCCATATTATCAAGTCCCCACCCACACCCCAGTACAGTCACTGCCCATCAGTGTAGCACTGTATTCTTTAGGAAAAGAAATTCTGACAGACATCAGAGAAATGTAGGTGAACCAACATTTACTTGGGATACCTTCTAGATTAAACTAGAACAGTGCATTGTTTTTGTTGCTCTAGTTGGATTTTTGTTCCTTTTTTCTTTCCTAAAGAAATCAGTCATCATCATTGGGGCTGGTCCGGCAGGCTTAGCAGCTGCGAGGCAACTGCATAACTTTGGAATTAAGGTAAGATTTCGGGACGTGGAGATAGAAACGAGTGGTTAACCTTCAGGTCCAAGTTTTCTAAGACTCAGAAACCAGGTCGTGATTTTAGCAAAGAAGGCTAAATACAGTATACCTTTCTGTCTTTACAAGGGAGCCTAGAAAAGATACACAATCTGAAATTGGTTTACTAGAAGAGAGGTAGTTAAAAGAGAAATTCCCGACAGCTTTGGAGAGCATTTTGGACTCTTCACAAGCAAGTCAGAAGAGATTGTAAGTTTTATTACAGCAGAATTCTTGACAGGTGGTTACTGACCCCATATGGGAGACATTGGGGAAAAGCCCTTGTCTCTGTAATAGTTTGAGACGAGTAATAATAACAGCTTGGAAATTCACCGTTTCTCGTATAATAGTTTCCGAAATTCCCAGTTAAAATTTTCTTAAGCAAATCAAGGCACACTTTGCATCTTCCTCTGGAAAACAAAAATACTTGCTTTTGGAAGCAGGATTGAATTAGTTAAACCATGGTTAAGACATAATTGTATGATTTTAGAGCACTGTACGTATCTGAGGTAACCTGCTTTCCCAAGGTTGGATAGTTTTTCTTTTTATCTGATCTGTTGCCTTATTCCAGTTGTTCAAAATTAGCCAAAATAGGGACTATTGTTAAAAAAAAGTGCAATTCAGTGTCTAATTTTTATTAAATTCATTTAAATTAACCATCCCCTGGATTTCTGTTATTTCCTAGGTCTGACACATTTCTCCTTTTTAGAAAGTTACTTTGCAAGGATTTGCTTTTCAGTTAAACCGAATGTGAAAAATCAATTTGGTAAAATTGAATTAGTCCCTTCTCTGTTCTCTGACTAAAAAAATGACAGCTTCTTTTTCACCATGTCTTCTCTGCGGGACAAGTTTCCGAGATGAAAAATTTTCAATAGTTGTGCCTAAGAGAGATTTTTTTCGTCCGAGAAATCTGATTTGGATTTACAGGAAATGAGTTTGCTTTTCAGAGTACTCGGTGGTATTAAGCTATGAGGCATTTTAATTGATCATTTGTTTATTTTAGTGTTAGATATAGGGCCAGTGTTTCTCATTTGTTTTTTAATTGGGAAACTCACAGATTACAGGGAAAGTTATTAATATCCAAACTCTAGGAGGCTGTCTTTGATGTTCAGCTTTCCTCTTACACTAAAAAGAAACTAGAAATAAACGGTTACGTGTTGATATGAAGTCAGGAAAGAGGGTGGGGAGGGTAGAACCATAAATAGCTTTCCCAGTTGGAGAAAATGAGGAATTTAGGTCTGAGGAGGAGGAATATGAGGGCCTCTGTTACTCTCCCCTTTTTCTTGCCTGGTGATGAGGGAGCCCCCCCACAGAGACCGCCCACCCCTCTCCTGGTTAGGAAATAGATGCCTCTGAGTAATGTAAGAGAGGTTAGGTCAGGGACTTCCCGAGCAGTTCCGGGGAGCCCTTTCGGGCATCCAGAACTGAACTGACTGCCTTAAACTGAAGCAGGCTCACGTTTCTGGTGAGTGCGACCCGGGAAGTGTAGCGGTTTGTGTCCCAGGGCCGCCCACCCGGAGGCGGCTCCTCCTGCTGCCCAGCGTTAGAAATGGGAGGAGATAAAATAGTCTGGGTGGGCGAGCCCACCTGCTTAGGCCAAGCCTGTATTATAATCTATATATTATCTATTGTAGTAGATAAAGTGACATACAATTTAAAAAAAAAATTAGTCATAGAGATCTTGCCATTTGCACTGACATGGATGGACCTAGAGGGCACTGTGCTCAGTGAAAATCAGCCAGAGAAAGAGGAATACCTTATGATTTCACTTACACCTGGGATCTGAAAAACAAATAAATGAACAAACAAAACAGAAATAGACTCATAAACACAGAGACCAGACTGATGATTAAGGGGAAGGGGCAGGTGAAATAGGTGAAGGGGACAGAGGTACAAACTTCCAGTCACAAAATAATTTAGCCATGGGTAGAAGTACAGCAGAGGGAATGTAGCTCAAAGTATTATAAAATTTTGTCCAGTGACATGGCAGCTACAGTTAGGGTGACAATTTAATAATGTATATAACTGATGAATCACTAAGTCGTTTATCTGAAACCAGTAGAATATTTATATATAAACTAAAATCAGTAAAAAGTTTTGAAATTCATCAATTCAAACAATAAAGCATTTGCCACACCTGCACACCAGTAAAATACATATATAAATAAATAGTCCTATCTTAGAGAAGTTAAGGACGATTTGCAATGCTACAGGAATTTTGCTACATACATAGATATTTCGTAGGAAAAAAAATCACCTTTCACTGAGTTGTTAATAGTACTTTTAAAATTATGGAATACTACTTAGTAGAAGCTTTCACTGTGCCTTCCTTGCTCTGCATCATCAAATCTTATCGCCATGGGATTTGAGAGGAACGTGTTTGAGGGGTCTCTCCAGCAGACCATTCGTCTACTCCTCGCTAGAATCTGGACTTTGTTTCGACATCTACTTCGGCTCCTGTTCACGCTGCCCTCTTAAAGCCGTTTCCCTGGTGACACGACACCTTAGCCAAGTACGGAGCTGCGTGTGTGGTACTGCTTTAGACCGTTCCAGCTTCTCTGATTGTCTTTGTAGGTGACTATCCTGGAAGCCAAAGACAGAATTGGAGGCCGAGTCTGGGATGACAAATCTTTTAAAGGCGTCACAGTGGGAAGAGGAGCCCAGATTGTCAATGGCTGTATTAACAACCCAATAGCACTGATGTGTGAACAAGTGGGTTTCTTTCCGATTTGCATTGTAGATAAAGAGATGGAAAAGTTGTGTCATTGTGCTTGTGTGTGATAGTAATATGCTTCGAGATAACATATTGTGTAACAAAACTCCAGAACAAATCCCTCATCCCCTCTGCAAAGTACGTAAAAACAGTAATGGTTCTTCCTTTCTGTGAAGGTGGAACTAGAGGGCTTAAAATATGTATTTTTTTCTTTTTTAAGATTTTTAATTATGTTTGTGTGTTATATGCAGGCTGCTTGATTAGCTCATCATTTGTTGAATCAAGCAAATAAAAGCATGGAATGCCCAGTTGAATTTGATTTTCAGATAAACGTAATGTTTTAGTGTATGCCCCAACTATTGCATGGGATGTTTGGTATGCAATAGTTGGGACATACTTATGCTAAGAAAACAAGTTATTTGTTGTTTATCTGAGAGTTAAACTTACCTGGGCAACCTGACTTTATCAGGCAAAACCCTACATAGTTTCTATAAAGACCTGGCAGGAGCCAAGTTTTCCCGGAAATATTCATTGGCTGTAAATTCAGCTGAACTGCCGTGAGAGTGTGTGTGTGTGTGTGTGTGTGCGTGCTCATTACACGGGCGTCCGCAGAGGAGGCCGCGTGTCGAGCAAGGAGAGGCCAGGCACAGCCACAGCAGCGGACGCCCGGGGCCACGTTCTGAAACGCGGCAGCGTGAGGTCTGGGAGCAGTGCTCCGACCCTCAGGTCCTCATAAATAACCTCTCAGGTTCCGTGCTCCGTTTCCACTGCCTGCTTTTGCTGCCCTTCCCCTTAAGCATATTGAGCTGTACATTTGAAAGGTGCTGGACCATTTTTGCCTTCAGAGCTCTGTCTGATCTCAGCTTAGAACCTCTATATATGTTTTCCAGGGACTATTGTTGACCTTGTTATTTTTATTGTCTTAAAGCTTGGCGTCAGCATGCATAAATTTGGAGAAAGGTGTGACCTGGTCCAGGAAGGCGGGAGAGTCACCGACCCCGCCATCGACAAGCGCATGGACTTCCACTTCAATGCTCTCCTGGACGTCGTCTCTGAGTGGAGGAAGGACAAGACTCAGCTGCAGGACGTCCCTTTAGGAGGTACGCGGAGGCGCTGCTGTGGCCGTGCGCCTGTGCCTCCCAGCCTCGGCTGTCCACGCGGTCCTCGGGGCGTCCCGTTGGGACCGATGAGCCTGCGTGCCCATCCCCACAGGGGAGCCGAGCTTCCGTACGGACCTGGAGCTGCTTGTGTGCACACGTGCAGATCTTACTGTACGTGGTTTCTGGTGTTTAAATGTTCGATCGCATTTCCCAGAGGAGCTGACTTTTAAGGAAATGCGGTAAGCCCGTGGTGAATGGACAGCCACCACGTCATGTCTTTTCTAGACAAGACTTTCTGTATGCCAGGATTTCTTTTCCTTTTGTTTGGCCAAGAGGGTAAGAAATGTTCAGTGTATTTTGTTGGAGAATGCAATGTGATTGTCATTTTAAGAATTTTAATTCAAAAAATCTTAAGGCTTGGGTACTTAAATGGTAGTTAATAACCCTCAACCCTTTAGAAAACTTGACCATCTGACTCATTTCCTTGAGGGTGCCAGCTGAGATTCTACCCTGTTGCTATGTTGATATTTATTTAACCTACAGTTTTTGACCTGAGTATATTCACTCGCAGCTCTTGGAAGCATGGCAGAGTTTCTTAAAGGGGGAACATTTGAACTCATTTTGCAGGGTATTAGCTGGCTTCAACTCTGTTCCTTCGCAAGGGCTCTCAGTTCCTCACCCTGGTGTATTTCCCATCTCTGTTGGGGACTCACTTCCCGGTAGCAGGGGTTCCCTGTCTCTTATCCTGCCCCTCCTCCTCACCTGTCCCAACCCACCACCTCTGGACCCACACTCATCACCCGGAGTAAGTGTTGACCAACAAGCCATGACAGAACATTTTCAGAAATGCATGGGGGTGGGTGGACCATTTGATCAAACATGGTAGTGTCCAGACCAAGCAGTGAGCTGTGGAATTTTCTGGAATTGAGGACAAGTGGGCCGACCTGCAGGAGTGAATTACTGTTGGCACAGGGCTGGCAGGCACTGGATGAGGTTTTTAAATACTTCTTTCAGGGTCACCACACAAAAATGCTAGCAATATTGCTTTGTCTTGGCCTTACTTAAAAAAGTTCTTAAGGGAGGGTCAGCTATATATATATCAATAGGTATTTCATCTTACTGTTATTTTTTTGGAAAAACCTTAATATTAATGCACATGTCCCTGTGTAAACCTTCAGTCCTATTTTGCCTGGCAGTATCTCAGCTGTGTGACGTCTCACTTTATTAGCACAGAGCTGGGAAAACCAACCTGTCAATACTAAGATGCTGGAGTTAATTTCACCAAGCATATGTTAGTTAACATAAATATTTTTTACTATAATATTATTTACCATAAATACTATCCATATACAAAATCTTCATATTACATAAAAATCACAGTAAGGTTTCTCTCAGTCTGTTTATACCTAATTGTATACACTACTCTAGCAATCTTGCTTCCCAAATCTCTAAACATAAAGGCAGGCAGAAACTGCACAGTTAAGAAGCAGGCATGGGACTGTTACAAGAACATCCTGCAAGGGGCCCAAAATCCAGCGGTCTAGGGGCAAAAGCCTGGCACAAATCCAGAGGTGCATGGACATCCCCACTGTACAGTCTGGTGGAAGAATTGGAAAATTGTAGAATCTAGGGTTGTCAAAAAAAAAAGTTAGCTGATTCTTAGTTTTGTTCTGGTCAAGTAAGTGCACAAGATATAGGAGCTTTAGGCTGCAGTGCGTGTTGGATGGCATCATCACTGGGAAGGTTAGAGAGAAGCAGCCTGTGCTAAGAGTCTTTCAATTTATCAGCCATGAGCCTCCCCACAAGCAGGGGAAAAAAGGAATCTAACATGGTAATTGGAACGTATCCCAGGGCTGTGTACACGTGGTTGAAAGTTCCAGTTGGATGGGATAGGTGAGAGCTGGGGCTGATACCAAGGAGCGATTCCCGGGGCTGGTCATGGCCAGGTGGTGCTGGGCTGGAAAGGACGGGTGGGGTTGGCATGGGGAGGGCACTCCGGTGAAGGGTGTGGGGGCAGCAGACCTTGCAGGGCTGGAATTTGCCAGGAAGAGGTTACACAGCAGCGCAGCAGAGCCTGTGCAGTGGGCAGGGAGTAGTCGCTATCGTTGGAGAGGCTAAAGATATGCTAGGGTTTGGATTTTATTGTAGAGGCTGTGAAGAGCCAGTGATTAGAGGCATGGAGCAGAGGGCTGACGTGGTGAACGTCCGTGACCGAGAGACCCTGGGAGAGAAGCTAGCACATAGTCAGTCTATTATGGGTGTCTTGAGGTGAGATGTTATGAGAATCTGACTTTCAGGGGCTGGCAGTGGGGTCAGATAGGGAACGGGAATTCTCTGTGTGTGTGTCTATATGGGCAGGGGGTGCTTCTGCTAGGTCTTGATCAAAAGAAAAAACAGTTTTTCAACTAGGCAGAAATGAAAGATGGTTGAGCATACAGAGCCTGCATCATTTTGTTACCGGTTAAGATAAGCGTTTACTTCCTGAGAGGAACCAGCCTTGTTGAGATGCCACCCCCTGCCCCGAGCTTCCCTGGGGGAGGACTTGGGAGTCGGGGATGTTTGGGGTGGAGGGGATTGAAAGCACAGAATAGAGTCAGAACACAATGTTAAGGCCGTTGTTTCTGCCTCGACCCCTTCTCATTGCAGAAAAGATAGAGGAGATCTACCAAGCGTTCATTAAGGAATCGGGGATCCAGTTCAGTGACCTTGAAGAGCAGGTGCTCCAGTTCCACCTCAGCAACCTGGAGTATGCCTGCGGCAGTAACCTGCACCAGGTGCGCCGGGGCCGAGGCGCATGCGCTTCCGGAAAGCCTGATCTTGGGTCTGTGTGTGTATCTTACATAGCGAAATGCTGAGCCCGGGCCGCTTTGGATAGCAGGAAACAATGCTGCTGCTGCTTAGAAGTTCAAAAACCACGACTTCAGAGCATATTAATGCCCCCAGTGGTTTTTGAAACTTTGTTTTTTTAGAAGCAAGAGAAACAATCCTTTCTTCAAATAATGTCTGTGAAGCAGCTCAGTCAGTAAACTCAGAACAGGCAGGCTCTTGGGAGAACCCGGGAGGGGCCCGGAGGCATTTCTGTGGCACCGTGCACGCTCTGAAAACACTCGCGAGACCCCAAGAGAAATGCACGTGCAGTTACGGGCTGTTCATGCTGCCAGAGCGCATGTAAACCTGCCTGATTTCACCAGCTGCGGTCTCAGCGCTCAGATATTCTGGACCGTGAATCGCAGGTCACGGATGCCCCGCCCTGCCTGTCCTCTTCGGGGCCTCTGTCTTCATTTGATTCTGCTCCTTTCAGCCTCTCTAGAGCTTGTGTGAAGACAGATAGGTGGCATAGTTACATATGGAGCTGATGAAATGCAGTTGCACTGTCATGGACTTCTCCTTTGCAAGGGTCACTGAAAACGAATACACCTTGTGTCTTTACCAAGGCCTGCTTCCCACTGCCAGGGCATGTCTACTGTGTGCTCCTGCGAGGGCCCTTCCTTGGCTGTGCTGCCCGCCTAGGTTGGGCTGCTCGTCTCCTCCCTTAGGGTTTTGCTCTGCGGCTCTGCCCTCCTGCCTCGTGGCTCCCACCCCTAGGGACCCTTTATTGTCCCTCTGGCCAGGCTCAAGGGGTCACGCTGCCTCTCTGGGCCCAGCCTCTCCTGTTGTTCCCCAGGTGTCTGCTCGCTCCTGGGACCACAATGAATTCTTTGCACAGTTTGCTGGTGACCACACTCTCCTAACTCCCGGCTACTCAGTCATCATTGAAAAACTGGCTGAAGGGCTAGATATTCGGCTCCGATCTCCAGTGAGTATCAAGAGCGGTGAGGCTTCCCAATACTCGGTGGGCAGCCCTGGCTTGGCTTGGCTTTGGAGGACGTGAAGTTTGGGGCATGTGGCTCACACAGGAGACAGGTGCTGCCTGTACGTTCAGTCTCCACGTGCTTTCCTGGTACAGTCACAGCCTGTGATGAGTGGCATCATCTGCTTCAGTCATGTAACTGCTGCTGTTTGGAAGCAGTAGTGGGTCAGATGCATTTTCATTAATGATACAACGTTCGAGTTGCTGACAAACTCGCTGACTCAGTGCAATTATTTTTGCTCTTAAATTTTCCCTTCAAATATCTGCCCCTGTGCATTTGTACTTTCTGATATTATAATCACAGGGACAGTTGTTTACATGCATATTTCCCTTCCCACTATATTACAATGATTTTCCATACTCTGACATAGAGTGTGTAACTTGTGGCTGAGTGATGGCCCCCTGAAGTTAGCTGGGACTGTTGTTTAGATCTCCAAATACCAGGAAATGATCCTCCATGGCCTCGGAGACGCAAACTCACATAATGCGAGAATTGGAATGGGTCCTGGATCCTACGACTCCGGCCCTCATTATGTTTTTCAAATTGCTCTTCTTGAGCAGGTGCAGAGTGTAGATTATTCTGGAGAGGAAGTGCATGTCACCATTACCGATGGGACGGGGTATACGGCCCAAAAGGTGAGTCCTGGCATTTCTCCCCGTGTCGCCAGGGGCCTGGGCATGAGGGAAACAATCTTTTCCACCAAGATGTTTGTCTCTGGCAATCTGCCTGGAATCTCGTTTGATTTCTGAAGAGTTATGTATGTCCACTTAGTTGTGTGTAAATGTGAAAATCTGATTTAATTTAACACTATCTAGATTTGCAGCAGATGGGTTCTGAAAGGTGTTTATTTAAGTGGGTTCTATGGTACATTCATCCTGAGAATTGAACAAGAAAATTTTTTGGCCAACTAAATGTGGGAAGTATCATATACTAAAGTCTAGTTTTGTTGGGGTTTATTTTTTTAGTCTGTTGATTTGTTTTATGATGTAACCATTTTTCTAATCAAGAAAGCTCTGTTTTCATTTTGAGATGGGCAGAAATACTTTCACATTATTTGAATTTTTTGTAAATATCTTTAGTAGGTAGACAAGGAAAGGCTGTAATGTAATCAGATGAAATTACACTGAGATTTCTGCAGTATTGGAAACAAAGGTGCTTACCCGGGGGTGGAGGAGGGCTTAATAAACCCTATAAGTTTATTTAAATTTAATTATATATGAAGTGATTTCCAAAAAAATACAACTGATGAACTGTCCTTAGGTCCTGGACTAGCCATGTTCTATACTTTGTTACCTGAAAGTATTTCCCAGGCCTTGACATGCATGCAGAAATAAAGGATTGCATGTCAAGTGGGAAAAACAGGGGTATGGATGTAAGTCCAGAGGTATGTGGCCTCATGTTATTTCTGCCACTCCCTAGCTGGGTAGTTAGAGTAGTAGTATATTTGGACCAGAAGTGGTTTTCAATCCTGGATGCACATTAGAATCACCTGCGGGTGATTTACAAGAACAGTTGGAAAACCCCCCCGCACAGACATTCTCATTGAACTGGTCTGGTCACATCTGTAAGGCTTCCCCCGTGATTCTGACACATGGCCAGAGCTGAGAACCTCTGGGCAACCCGTGTCCTTACCTGTGGGCCCCTCGATGAGAATTAGGCTAATATTGTGAGTTCATGGTGGCACATTTTTTTTTTTAAATACCCATTTTTAAAATTGAAAGAGCTGATGGCTCAACCCTGTGTATTTTGTGACTCTGCCTCTGGGTGTCCAGCAACATCCTGGTCTGGCTTCTCTGCTGGGTTGCCCTGTGCCTGACCCAGATGCCATGGGTCTCTCTTCACATTCTGGCATTAGTTCCACAGAAATTAATGGGCATAGCTTCAGGCCATGTCCAAAGCCTGCGCTGAAATGTTGAAAGCAAATATTTTTATTTTTATGGTAGTCAGCACACATCACCTGGTTTGAATTGGAAGTTTCTCAGCTTGTAAGTGAAAGATTTCCAGCTCAACGTGATACACTGATAACATTGACAAACTGTAATTCAGTCCAGGCTGCTTCCACCAAGATCCAGCTTTCGTTCCCTACCAGGCTGTGTTTGTATCTTTTGCACATTTGTTTACCTAAGTTCATGTGCTTTGAAACCTTTTTTTGTCATGGAGAAAGCATCTAGATCTTATTTCCTTGCAGTTTTTATAAATCCAAGAGAAAACAAATCTTGTTTTCTTGGAGGGGAGGGAGGTTGCATGAACTATTACCTATAACCAGATTGAGGATAGAGAAAATGCTTTATCCTTGATAAAATTTTCATGTGGCAGAAAATAGCAACAAATCTCAGGAGGAACTTGGACCCCCCTGTGACCTTGGAGTTGGGGTTCAAGGCAGCTATACCACTTTTTTGATGAGAGTGATGGTAGATGGGTGCTTGGCATTCAGCAACCCCCCATTCTCATCCTCCCGTGTGGTCCTGCACTGCATGCACGCCCCCCACCCCCACACACACATGCACACCCACCTCCCAGACTCCCTTGCAGCTGAGGTTCTAAATGTGAACTGTAGGAAATGATGCAGCCACTCAGATGCACTTGGATGCGATTTGGGAGGATGGCTTTGGCTTGACTTCTGCCCTCTAGGCAGACACATATAATGGTCAAGGTGTGAGTTGTGCCGCAGGGCCAGCGGAGGTCCCAGGACCCACACATGAACTATATGGGAGGCAGCAGGCGGGGCAGGGGAGCCCATTTTTACGTGCAGGTTGTTGTACAAGTGCAGGATTCCGGAGCTGGTGGCACTGGTAGTGGCTCCTAATTGTGGCAGTGGTTCTGGAGGCAGAAATTTCTGGAGCTCTCTTGGATGGCCTGGTTTTACGATGTCACTTTGGGAGTCCTTCATGCAGCTGTTAGCATGAGTTACTGCAGGCCTCCTACGTGATTCTGTAAGCCATTTGAGACCCTGCAGTAAATTGCTTTGTTGTTAAGATACTTCACGTGTCTCTACATCATTATAATGCATAATGTTGGGATGTGCTTCACCACTATGAAGCGTACCGACACACACTGTGAGGCTTTGAGTTTTAAGCATTATCCCAATCCTTTGAGGTTAGTAGGGGAGCAGTTACCTCGGTCACACATGATAAAATGTCAGGAGTGATACACAGATCTCTTTGTCCTAACTCATATTTAGGGCCATTTCCTCCAGTCACACTGCTTTTCATGATTGGGACTGGTGTTCATGGTTAACCCCTCTCACCCAGGGTTATCCTAAACCAAGACCTTCCTGTTCCTCCAGTGGGTCTGCATCTGCTCAGCCCGGCACCCTTGTGCAGTGAACAACCTGCACAGCTGTACGTGGCAGCCTTGCTCTTGTCAGTATATCTGCAGGGAATGTTGACAGTCTCCCGGCTGGCAATAGAAAGGAACATTCTTTAGGTGCTGAGGTTTTCTTGGACATGAACTCCCCAAGTAGCTGTGGTGTTAGGTTCAGCTGCTGTTTGTGTGTAACTTACTTATTTCCCTTAGGTATTAGTCACCATACCCCTGGCCTTGCTGCAGAAAGGCGCCATTCAGTTCAGCCCACCACTGTCAGACAAGAAGATGAAGGCTATCAACAGCTTAGGCGCAGGCATCATCGAAAAGGTACCTAAGCTCCTGAAGCCTCAGAACTAGTGATTGATGTCAGATTGCTGGAGTTGCTTAACTTCTGAGAGTGAGAAGAAGTGGGTAATTTTTTTAATCCAAATAAAGCCCAAAGATTTCCAGAGAATACAAAAGGCTATCAAAACAATGGGAAAAACCAGCTATGGTCTGTGAATTTTGACTTTGAGTGAATCTGATTATTCAGAATCAGAATTTGGTATATAAATAAGCAATTCTTTTTGGGGGGTTGGGGGGATTTCCATGTCTGTTCTCCATTAATTGGCCCCATGGTGGAGTGTATTTTACTTCCTTTAAAAATCTCCCTTATCAGAACCTGGCAGTGCTACCTGCAGGTGGCTGGCAGACCCACGAGCCATGAGGGTTCACCTGATGGACATGTGCTTCCAGGCCAAGGCCCAAACTTCTTAGATCAGTCTGGAGGTTGTCACTGGGTCCCCCACTAGCCGTGGGACTGAACGACGTAAAAGCCAGGTGCTCACAGAACAAAGGAGGCAGGGAATGGCAGGGGGTGCTGTGGTCGGTGTTTAATATGCTTTAGCTCAGAGCTATGGGTTGGTTCCTAGAGACTGCTGTGTTTTTGAGTCAAGAAACTTTTAACCCGCCCTTCTTGCTCACTTTCCAGATTGCCTTGCAGTTTCCTTATAGATTTTGGGACAGTAAAGTTCAAGGGGCTGACTTTTTTGGTCACGTCCCTCCCTGTGCCAGCAAACGAGGCCTTTTTGCTGTATTCTATGACATGGATCCCCAGGTAAGTCCCCAGTAAAATGGCTTGAATTCCTTTATTGCAGCTTGGAGTTTGGTCTGGAAATTGTGTGTCAAGCTCAGGAACTAATGCACGGTGTAGCCACTCCGGGTAGATGCCATATTCTGGGGGGACGTTTGGACTGGGATGTTATCCTGTTGGAAAGGAGCCCAATATCCACATTTTCTTGCAGTACCAAAGCTGCTGCCTGGGAAGTGAATTAGTCACTTGTGGAGTCTGTGTTATTTCAAGTTAATGGAGGAGTTCCTCCTGGGGAGAGTCAGCCGAGCCCAGGAGTGAGTGGTGCTTGTAAGGCAGTCTCCCAGGGTCCTGGGGGACGCGCGTGACGCGTGGATGTGATTGGCTCAGGGGAGGGTGGGTCTCGGGGGGTGGATGTGATTGGTGGGGGAAGGATAACCGGGTGGGCTTGCAGGGAGCCGGAAGCTTTGGCAGGTCGGTATCATGCAAAAAAGAATGGCAGCTATTTCGCTTTCTGTCCTTCCAAGAGACTTTATCTTAAAAGGTTTCCCATGGGAGCCGAGGGCAAGATGTTCTTACCACTTGAAAAGGTTTTTTCCATTGTTTTGTTTGCAACCTCGTTCTACCTCTTCTAAAACAAGTCCTTATAAGGGAAGAGCCCAGAGAAGCCTGATTGACGGTTACACAGCTTCCTGAATTTTCAGCAGGGGTCAGTAAAAATGTGTAGATGCATAGTGAGTCTGTGTGAGGCAATGGGCTGGTGATGGAAGCGAGGGTCGGGGACAGGAGGAATCCTGAGTCTGTGAGCGCCGGGGCCTCTGCATTCGACACGTCTTCCCCTGTGAAGCATGACCCGCTGTCCCCCCATGTCGCAGAAGCAGCACAGCGTGCTGATGTCCGTGATTGCCGGGGAGGCGGTGGCGTCCGTGCGGAGCCTGGGCGAGAAGCAGGTGCTGCAGCAGTGCATGGCCACCCTGCGGGAGCTGTTCAAGGAGCAGGTCAGAGGAACCCCCCGGGGGCAGAGGCAGGCTTGCCGTCACCTGGAGCGCACTTCGGGGCGGCGTGGGACCCCAGGCAGGGGCGTCACCGAGAGTGGAGGGAGCCGAGGCCGTGGCCACGTCATTCTTTCTCCCCGTAGTCCCGGATGAGTTCGCCAGGGTGCCTTGAACTACCACACACCCTGGGCGGTCTAAACAGTAGACGTGTTCTCCCCGGTCTGCAGGCTGGAGTCAAGGTCTCGGGCAGCAGGCCTGGATTCTTCTGCGGGTCCTCGGCTGGCAGGTGCCGTCTTCCGCTGCGTCATGCGGCCACCCCTCTGGGCCTCCTGGTCCCTTCCTGCAAAAGGACACCAGCTGCACTAGATTAAGGCCCACCCTGATGACCCCATTTTAACTTGATGCCTCATGAAGGCCCTTTCTCAAAGCCGCATTATGAGGTCTTGGGCATTAGGGCTTCCGCATAGGAATTCCAGGGGGACACAGTGTAGCCCAGACACACCCTGTTGCTTTTACATGACGTCTTGCTTTTCTCTTACTTCATGTGAAACACCTGTTTCTTTCCTACGTAAAGGCCTCAGCATTTCCCACGGATCCTGTTTACCAAACCCTAGCAAGCTTTGTCCCTTTCCTTTTAAAGGTACATTGTCCAGAATTTTCTCCCACCCCGTGCAGCTGTCTTTCCTCCAAGGAGCTCAGGGTACTTGATATTTGCCAATTGATGAAATCTCCCCATCTCTAGATCACTAAATGCTCTAGCTTGTATCTTTTTTCAAATGAAGGAGAAAGACCTGAGATGCCTCAAAAGTTCCATAAATTAGCTGCATAAACATCCAGGAGGTGTTGCTTATGTAACATGATGTACTTGTATCTCACAGTAGCCTCCGGTCTGTGGTTTGTGTCCACAAATCTGCTTCAGATTAGTTATTTGGGACTTAGAATACATGTTCTGTGGAAATATTTTTCATGGTGGTGCTTGTCAGAGAGAGGCCAGCCTACAAAACTGTTTGAAACCTGCTGACTGTGAAACATACCCTGGTGTAGCTGAGACACCGGTTGAGAATTCCAACCTGCAGTCCTAGGACAATGCCCCTCCCTTTTCTACTCTGGCCAGAGACCTTTCCCACCATCTCCAGCACATGCCAGGCCACAGGAAAGGGAATGCCCAAACCCTTAGCCATGGGTGACAGCCCCCAATAGGTAGGGGTCTGTGTCCCTGGCAGGATAGGGTGGAGAAGTGAGCTGTGTGGGCGCTGCACAGACAGAGCTTGGGCAGGAGACTGAGGATGCCGCACACATTAGTGGCCTGGGAGGAGCTGCAGGGCAGCGGCACGACGGACCGAGAGCTGCTGTTGCAGAATGCCGCAGGAGCTGACTCTGTCCTCAAGGGAGGGAGGACTGTGTCTGTCCTGGCACCACTCGGGTATAGCAGGCTCAGTTCCAGGCCACCGCAGTTAGGCGAGCATCACGACAGAACACATCAAGTGAGTGGTTTTCCCAGTGCATAGCAAAGCTGTGTTCACACCGTACTCTCATCTCTTAAGTGTGCAACAGCATGGCTAAAAAACACCGCATACTTTAATTAAAAAATACTGTGCTAAGAAATGCCATCTCTCAGCCGAGCTTTCAGTGAGTAGTGATCACTGACCACAGGTCACGGAACAAATGCAATAACGAAAGGGTTTAAAGTATTTCAAGAATTACCAAAATGTGACATAGAGACATGAAGTAAGCAAATGCTGTTGGAAAAATGGGCCCAAAAGACTTGTGTGAAGGATTTCTGCAAACCTTCAATTTGTAAAATACTCAGGGTCTGTGATGCGCCAAAAACCCAAGGTGCGCTTGTACTCAGGCTGCACCATATCTGAGTCTTTGTGATCCTGCCACTTGGCCCAGGAAGTGCCGGACCCCACCAAGTACTTCGTCACCCGCTGGAGCACAGACCCGTGGATCCAGATGGCATACAGCTTCGTGAGGACGGGGGGCAGTGGTGAAGCCTACGATATCATAGCCGAGGAAATCCAAGGAGCCGTCTTCTTTGCAGGTGAGGTGAGTATCGTGGTCCTGAAGCCAGCCATTTCCTTTGCTTTGTTAATGTGCCATATGCCCAGAGGTTAGAAGCAAAGCCGAATTCTGCCAAAAGCCTCATGACAACAGTAGATGCATCTCAACATAACTCCTCCACCTCCTTGAGCAGCCATTTTTAACCCTTTCTGCTGTTCCTTCTGAAATGTACTTGATGTTTTAAAACATGTGTATGTCTTCTGATTTAATAAGTCAGACACTATCTACTGACTTCCTGTCAGGTTAAAGATTTCGCCCACTGGTCCTCTCTGCAGGTTGCTTGCCACGGAGCCCAGGTGGTTTTTGTTTCCTTTCTTGCACAGCTGTTTTTGACGGGCATAATGGCTTTTTTCATTAGCTTAGTTCTTCTTGTGCGTCTCCTTAAGCCTCTGCACCCTTTGGTCATCTCCAAGCCTTAGTTGAATTCCTCTGTTAGTTCCAGTTTTTGAGACGCCCCTTCCTGGCATCCTCTGCCCTCTGCTCCATCTGCACTGGTGGATCTCTGCGACACCTGCAGGATCCTCCTCCGGGGACTCCTACCCCTTCCCAGGGTTGAGATACTTTTGTGCATCCCTCTCTTCTTTCTTATATCTAGTTCTTAAATTGTGGTAAAACATGTAATATAAAATTTATCATCTTAATTGTGTCTAAGTGTACAGTTCAGTGTTACTAAATATTCACATTGTACAACCATCACCACCATCCATCCCTAGAACTTTTTCATTTTCCCAAACTGTACCCCTTAAACATCTCCCCCCTGCTCCCTGGCAACCACCGTTGTACTTTCTGTCTCTCTGGGTTTGTTCTAGGGAACCCACCATGGAAAATGGAATCATACAGTATTTGTTGAGTGGCTCATTTCACTCAGTATGTCTATCAGGTTCATCCATGTTGTGGCATGTGTCACGATATTCTTCCTTTTCAAGATTAAAAATACTCCATTATATGCAGATACATTTTGTCTATCCCTCACCTGTCGTGGAACCTCAAGCTGCTGCCACTGTTTGGCTGTTGGGAATAATAATTGCTGTGAATGTGGGTGTGCGGACCTCTCAAGAACCTTTCAGTTCTGTGGGGCATCTCCTCAGAAGAGGTATTGCTGGATATGTTAGTTACATCTTTAATTTTTTGAGGAACTGCTCCTTTGTTTCCCATAGCAGCTGCACCATTTTACACTCCCAGCAACAGTACACAAGGGTTCCAATTGTTGCCGTCCTTGCCAGTACTTCCTATTTTGTTTTTTGATACTAGCCCCCTAATTGGTGTGAGGTACCTTTCTTCCCACTTTTGTTGAGAAATGTTATGCTGTCATATTCTTTCTGTGCTTTTTAAAAAAAATTCTTTGTAATCTAGAAGCGCATGTCCTTCAGTCCTGGTTGGCTTGTTTTTTTGGTCAGTCTCTCCACCCTTTTTATTTCTAGATCTTCTGTAACATATATTGGAACTCTTATCTCACTCTCTTTGCTCTTATTCATCTCCATCTTTTTATTCTACTTTTGTAATGAGATTTATCTTCCAACCCTTGCACTGACTTTTTAAATTTGGCTTTCATTTCATAAGTACTTTCTTGTTCTCAGATCATCCCTTTCTGGTAGCATCTTCTTGTTTCGTTAACTTGTCCCTTGCATGGCTCTTCAGCGCTCCTGTTTTTAGCTTTACCCTCTGCCTCCCACACGTCCAAATATCTAGTCCTTGACCGTCTGCTCAGATTTAGGTGAGGCAGTTTTTAAAAAGCCAGCTGAAAACTCCAAACTTGCCAGCTGGCAGTGGGGTGCCCGGGCATCAGCATCCCCCTCTTCTCTGGGAGCCTGAAGCCCCGCTCGTAGTTGAGGACCTCACGTGAACCATCTGAGCACCTTGCCCCTGCTGAGGGTAGTGGGGAACCTGCAAGGTCAGCCTGCTCTCCCCCCTTTAACCCTCAGCTCACCCATGCTGGACATCTGCCTCCATGGGTCTGATGCCACCAATGGCCATGATTTTTGAAGGATTCTTTGGGGTGAATTGGCTTTTCATCACCCCATTTCCCTCCACCCCCCAAACCTAGCAGAGTAAAGTGAATTCTCCACACACTTGCATACTTCATATATTTTAGTTTCAAATTACTGAAGGTCTCATTTCATCTAAAAGTGTTATTTTTTTCTCTTCTTAATTTTTGAGTGATTACAAAAAGATGTCATTTTAAAGCCAGCTGTCTTTGATTATTCACTTGTCACAGATTCTAACAGACTAGATGTCTGTTGAGAGGGACTGTGTTCTATTCTTAATTCTAGTACCTGGCATATATATTCATGTATGCATTTAGACAATCATATCTAGATAGTTATATGTATATATAATCATGCAAGATATTTAAATATCTTAATGAATTCCACACAGTACTACCCAGGAGTGCTGAGTATGTTTGTAGAATGAATAAATTCAGTGACGCCTGCTGAGTTAACCAGAGAAGTTTGGGTTATGATGGGTGAGTAGAGTGTTAATGTGAACACAGAGAAGAGACACAAATTTAGGTGGGTCAGAGAACATATAAACATATCACCCTGCAATTATTCTGAATTCCTTATACGTGACCTCAAATTACACAATTATATTTTACAGGCAACAAACAGGCATTTTCCACAAACTGTTACAGGGGCGTATCTCAGTGGGGTTCGAGAAGCAAGCAAGATTGCAGCATTTTAAATAGAATTTGTCTGGACCAGCTTTCTTCTGCACCCCAAACAGGAAAATATGGAATACAGGTTAAACCTCATTTTCATAAAATCAAACAAAAAAACCTCGCTGGAGAGCAAAACGGAAGTTTTTCAGGCGGTGGCGGTGTGATAATACAAACCCATTTCACTACTCCGAGGGCACTAGCCCCAAGAATCTTTTGTAAGCACTTGTCATTGCATTGTACACAGGTTTGACTGTAGTGCTGTCTTCTGGATCTCACAGCAAGGCAGAAAGAATATAACCTTAAATTAAGAGCTTGAATGTGGTTCTTCCATGGTCCCTTTAAATTGTGATATTCTGTTTGATTAGTTTTCAAACATTGAGAGACCAAGTCGGTCAAACAGCAATTATTAAAAATTAAAAATGAATTCCACACAGTTACTTCCCAGGAGTGCTGAGTATGTTTGTAGAATGAATAAATTCAGTGAAGCCTGGTGAGTAAACCAGAGAAGTTTGGGTTATGATGCGTGAGTAGAGTGTTAATGTGAACACAGAGAAGAGACACAAATTTAGGTGGGTCAGAGAACATATAAACATGTCACCCTGCAATTATTCTGAATTCCTTATACGAGACCTCAAATTACACAATTATGTTTTACAGGCAACAAACAGGCATTTTCCACAAACTGTTACAGGGGCGTATCTCAGTGGGGTTCGAGAAGCAAGCAAGATTAAAAAACCAGATATTAACCAGATAAAGCCATGTATTTTTCTTCTATAATTAGTATCTTTGCCAGTGAGCCTTACAGTTTTTATATAGCTCCAATATTGAGCTTTTACTTAAAATTTAGGCAGAAATCTTTACTTTTTGGATATAGCACATACTCTTCAAAAGCAAATGAAGCTTCTAGATGATTTTATATTGTATATATTTCTTCCCACTGGGTGTTCAAGAGAATTTTAAATTTCAGGTATCTTTTGTCATGAGACATTTTAGATGTGTGCACTCATTGGCAAAACAGCAAACATTTAAGTCCTTAAACACTGAGGGTATCAGACATGGGGTTGGGATAGTGTGGTCTTCATACTTTAGAAACACAATATGGCTATTTTTCTTCAAGACAAGTTTGGTCAGATGGCACCTTAAACAGCCTTAATTTTGGCAACTACTAGCAAAAGGTCTTGTCAGAATAATTTAATAAAAGCCTCTTCCCACTGCCTCTTTAAAATAATTGATTCAATCTCTAGAATATTTTTTACGGGTGTTTTCAGTACTCCATGGGCAGGGCCACTGGAAAACTGCAGAAAAATGTGAGATATCCTGGTTAATATTACACATTTTATAAGCCGTATCATATCTTAGCCTGAGAACATGGCAAATATTTTTTTTCACTCATGACAAAAAAATGTCACTTAAAATACACTAGTTTCAGGGGCTTCAGAACCCTTTCTTGCAAAGAAACTTCAGTTTAGAGGCTAAAAACATGGACAACTTAAGTGCTTTTGTTCTAAAAAGTCTGAACAGTTGTTTCAATTATATTGGTCTGTTTAAAAAAGGAACGCAAAATTAATTTGAAGCCACTTTCCGAAATACCACATACTTTTTAAATTCAAAGTTTTTAAGTAGAAATAGTGTTTTATGCAAAGAATGTAGTGAATATTTAGAAAGTTTAGACATACCTCCCTCCCCTTTTTGATGGAAGTGCAAATGGAAGTATAGCACTATATTAGTTTCGAAGTTAACACAGGAAAATGTTGGTATGTAGGTGATGAGACTCACTGGTACTGATTGGGAAGTATTCTGCTTTCAAGTGTTATGTATTAAAATGTTTAAAAAATAGCATGTGTTAAGTGATTAATGCAAAATATTTTAAGTTTAAAATGGCTCACAGTAAATTATTACTTTAGTCTCTGGGCACTTAAAGTTGTACTGTCTTACAAGCAAATTAAGGAAAAACCTACTAAAAGTACAGTGAATGTGTATTTAAAGAAAACCCTCATTTCCTCTCTCAAATGACATGTGACATTGTTAAGGAACCATGGTACTTTTCTGTTATTCTTGAGTTACTTTAAATATGTTTTTCACTGTTGTCTGAAGATTTTGTAATTGAGTAGCAGTGGATACACAATGTTTTAACTGCAGCTTGAACTGCTGAATAAAAGTAGATTTGTTTTTCCAATACACTGTGCACTGTAGTGGTGGAAACACTCCTGAAACAGTCCACCTTCGACACAAGCACGCCAGCTCACTCCCCTCAGACGCCCAACTTACCTCCTTCTCAAGTAAAAACAAACAATCGTTAACCCTGATCGGCTTCACTCGGAGACGGCTTGTGATTTCTGGGTAGTGTAGGGACCAAGCAGAAGTGGTCTCTGTGAGCGTGCTCCAAGTGATGTAGGCCTTGGGGCTAAGTCCACTTAAAATGCCCTGTTCTCAAGTCCTCACATAGGGGAAATGCTACAGAGACCTTTAAGACATCAAATGCAAGAGACAGCACTGATTCATTTTACTGATGAGGTTTATAGGAACAAATTAAATATTTAAAATCAAAGGCCAATTCTTAGGTCTCAGTTGTTTATTCCATTCATCTGTATTAAGTATATCCCTCTAATGTCTTTATAACTTTATCAAGAAACAAGTCAGACGCTTGAAATACCTGTTAACAGTCAACAAAAATCATTTTTATGTATTTCTGTTCTGTGGACACAGTATTTTTATTTTAAACACTCAGTTGGTTTATCAAAGGCCTAATTCTCTCATAAGCAGCATGTTTTATTTTAAAACTCAGAGATTACTTAATAAACTGATTAAGACAGTCACTTAAGAGATAAAATTAATTTCATTCAAGAGTGGTCCATATGTTGATCACAGAGAATCCTGATTGGCCAAAATTTAAAACCCAACAGCCCTAATTCCACAAATACATTAAATTTCTTTAATGTTAAAAATAAGTCTATTATCACTTTTGAGAAAAACTGTCAGAAATGTGCATTATTGCCCACACATTACCTCTGGCATTTCACCTGGTAATTTCATCACAATTATAAAGGTAAGTATCAACATTTCACATGGGCAGAAAGTTTTAAAAAATCAATTCATTTATTATAAGCCCACAATGTACTTGTACTTAATCTCACTCTCTTCCAAATTTTTGAACTTTGATGTGTTGATTTTGGTCTATCCTTGATATAAAATATATCTGCAGACACTGCTGCAGAGTCAACATTAAAACTGTAAATGGACACTTTCAAGGCAAAGCAGAGACTATCTGTCCCTTCAATGTTTTCCCCACTGAATTCTGACTTTCGCTGCTCTGTCACACCATCTGGCTGAACACTGACATTTCATAGTTTATAACTGTAAAGGTATCTACTTGTGTGAGTTTAAAAATTGCTCTGCACAAAAGAAATAAAAAACTATATACAACAAATTTGTTTTTAAAAATATAAAAATAACATCTGTCACTTTTGTCATGCTGACAATCTGACATATACACATGCAGGAGAAAATTTCCCATTTAGTCATCTGGACAGCTGAAGCTTGTATATTTTTAATATGATGAACACACTGCCTCTGAGTTTTTACACTGACAAGGATGTGTATTCAAAATATTTCATATACTAAATACTGCAATTGTCTCTGCATGTATAAATGCCAGTTATAAAAATTTCTGTTCTACTTGATTAAAATTATGTCTGAAACAGGCTAACATTAAGTGCGCTAAAAACTACAACAGTTCAGGAACCTATGACCTTATATAAAGAAATCCAAAATGTACAAAATACAACTATAAAATCAAGATAACTGCCATGCAAAATTTTAAACTAAAAACTGCATAGAAATGCAATTTAAAAACAAACTCATGTTTACGTAACACTCAGGATCAAAAAGGTCAGCACTAAGTTCTACCAATACAATGCTTGCAAAGATTTAGAAAAGGAAATACATTTCTTTGCTGGTATAATGGTATAAATCAGATCTTTAAATCCATGGGAACAAGTCATCTGTCTTGGTCCTGTAGCTCAAGAAATCAGCTGCAATGACAGAAGGACATTTGCTCACTGACACGCAATTAGGTATGCATAAGCCATAAATACAATTTCCTTTTGTGACTTATTTAACTACTGTGACCTTGGGAAATCAGTTGGGGTAAGTACACAGTTATGGCTACGGAAGGTCTGTGGCCGTGTGGATAGGCACGTATAATTGAGTTTGTGAGCTCCTGAGATGCCTGGCTGGCTTGTGTACACCGTGAGCCCCAGCTTCATCTCAAGTCAGGTTTTGTTCAGAAGACTTTATTTTTAGGCTTTAGAATGGAATAAAAAGAAATGTCTTCCCCATCTACTTTGAGGAAATTTGAGGATCAAATGAAAAATGTGCAGTATTTGACAGAACTTTTTTTCTCTTCCCTGTCAGTAATGATCAAAGTTACAAAAAGTGGCTATATTACCTCTTTAACAGTTGTTTTTATGAAATCTTTTCTTTCAGTTAAATCATAAGCAGGGTAATTTTCATATACCTATAGTGAAAAGAAAAAATAATGTTAAAAGTCGATTCAAAAAGTCCAGTAATATCCTCTTATCTTTGGATAAAGAAATATATGCAATGTACAACCAGCTGCATGTGCATTCTAACAGTACTCCAGTTCACCATATAGAAATCTATTGCAACCAAGTAGTTTAATAATAGTGTATATAGAGCAGAAAATACATTAGCATACAAACATGCTCATTGTTTTATAAACGAGGAGTATCAGCTGAATTAAACACGGGTGAGGAAAACATTTAGCCGGACCTTAGCGAAATGGGTAAGTTCCGCAGGCCGGCAGATCCTCTGTAGAGACGCTCTCTCACTTCCTTGTCTGTCACGTCATCCGACACTACTTAGGGTTCCTCAACTTACACCCTAACGAACTTCAGTCTCCACTCCTCTGCTCAATCCTGAGTGAAGCTAAATCAGTCAGATCCAGGGGTCTCTCAGGAGACCTCTTCTAAAATTTTACTCCCTACATTTCCCTCTCCTCTGTCAACCTGCTCCCTGCCTGACCCCACAAGGACGCCTAGTCCTGACTGTGTGCACCCTGTAGGCGTCACTCCCACGGGACAGTTGAAAGAAAGCACACTTTTCCTGTAAAGGGCCAGAGAGCAGGTGGTTTCAGTTTTCCCAGGACACAATTTCCGTCACAACTACTCAGCTATGCCAGCCACTGTAGTGTCAAAATAGCCACAGGTAACACTTGAATGGATGTGGCTACATTACAATAGAACTATTTACAAAAACTGCCAGTAAGGTGGATTTGGCCCACGGGCTGTTGTTTGTCAACCCCAGTGAACATGGTCAGTCATTTACATTATCTCATTGTTTACCCCTTGTTCTTTCTCTGCAAAACCCCAAACCTGAATTGGCCTACCTACCAACTTTTCTATAGTTAAGCTAGAGGAATGAATACTGTGGGAAAATGTAACTTTGAGAAGACTGGCCCCATTTTGAATGGGCAGCGTTCACTGTCAAAGCCTCCCTGCAGTCCCACGTCTCTACTCAACCCCTCTACGTGCAGTCGCAGGTCCTCCTTTGAGTGGTCCCTCCATCCCGTTACTCAGGTGTCCCACACACTTGCTCTCAGCCAAGACGCCATTACTATGAACCCCTCCCCCTTCCTGGCACAGCTCTTCCCCTTCAGTTTATCTGTATCTGGGCCCAGAAGCGCGCCCCGTCTCCTCTGCCTCAGCAAGGACCATCCACGCGTCCCGTGCCACAGCCTCTCCAATCTCCCCGCGCTGTCCCTTAGCCTAACCGTGCTTTGGGCTTTCTCTCCTCGACCTTTTTAGAAATACTTCATCAGCTTGTAGCCCCGCCATCAACCATCTCCCTCTAGAGCGAGCCGTTTAAAACAAGCTTTAAACTTCCCTTTCCTTAGACTCGTAAATGCACAATCCAATCGTGTACTTACCACTTATTAAATTTGTTCTTACTACGTGAATAATTATCCTGAGTCCAAAAAAACCCTCAACTCATTCTCACTTGACCTCACCATGTTATTAATAATCCCCTTTAAAGATTACATAAACGATTTACAGAAATCATTCAAATGGGCAGAACTAGGTCGCCCTGATGTGCCCTCTGCGGGAGGAAGGAGTCACCAGCTAGCTGGGTGTGCCTCCAGGCCTTTGAAAACAGACCTGCACATGCATATACATGGGTCGACAGCAATAGAACTCTTTTACATAAATGGGGTAAATTCTACACACTTAAAAAGTTTGACAATACTTGCATATTTTTCCATGTTCTTTTGAACTGCTACATAGTATTCCAAAAATATGGATGTACTAGTTTAAACATTTCCCTACTGATGGTCATATTTAGGTTGTTCTGATTTTTCAACATTACTTATCAATTTTTGCAGATGTGACTATGCCTTTAGGATAGAGACCTAGAAATGGAATTGCTAGGTTAAAGGGTATTTGCAGTTTAGATTTTCAGATATTCCCAACTGGTTCCCAAAGTTGTCACAACTTTAAAGCCGTAGAGTACTTTGCCTGTATCCCTGCCAACCACAAAAACTGTTATCTTTATAAAGATTTCTCAAGATAATAAAAATATTTCAGTTTCTATCTTCCCCGTTAGTAGGGAAATTCCAATGTGTTTTCATGTGTTCACAGGTCATTTACATACTTTCCCCGTGCAATGCTCCCCAGAGCCGCCACCTTGCCCCCGTCCCTCTCCGGGCTTTCACGGGGCCACAACTCTCTGGCCGGCCCTGCACTGCCCTGACTCTACACTTTCTCACATTTTATAGAAATTACTTCTCGACTCTGATGGTAACGGTCTCCAGGACTCTGCTCTTGGTTTTCCTCATGCTTTTATCTTCACCCCTGGGCAACTGTATCCACACTTCCGGTTTTAACTCCCAGCAATACCTCAGTCTAGGTTTCTCTTCTAACCTGAGAAATTAACAATGTTCACAATGTCTCCCACTTGGGATGTTCAAAGCACCCCATCTCAAAATGTCTAAAACAAAGCTCACCTTTTCTTAAAAAGCGTTCCTTTGTTTTAGTTCCTACTATGACTGATGCCCCCGAGCCCTGGCACCACAGTCAGGCAGCCCCTGGTCAGGCTCTCCCGATTCCTCACTTGGATCACGGTGACCCTGTATCTTTAATCATGACCCCACAGTGGGTTTCTTGCCTCTCGGCTCTTTCTCTACCTGTCTGTCCTCCTTGATGTGTCCAGGACGACTCTTAAAAAAATAAACACCTGACTCTGTTATGCCTCAATAGCTCTCAGTAATTACGCAACCTCGCAGTCCCCCATTAGTTTGAGAGAAAACCAAACTCTGTAATAAAACATATGTAAGATCTGCAAAATACAGTGTTCTCTCCTAACGTCTGTGAAGACTTCCTTCCAGCTCCAGTCTTCAGCCAATTAAATGAATTCCTCGCAGTCATTATTTGTCATATTTTACTTGTACTTGTCAATGTATCTCAGCTGATGGACAGCTGATGCTGAGACCTCTGCCAAGGTCTTTCCTGCCCCCAACCCCAAACAGGCGCTTCCTGCCCTGCAGTGAAGCAGCACCTGCAGCCCTCGCCCCCTTCCAACACAGTCCTCACACTGCTTGAATCCTCACACATCCTTCCTGTCCCACTGGACCCTAAGTTTCCCCCAGCCAATTGGAGGAACTGCCAGCGTCTTCGGCTCTCCCTCTAACTACTACCCCAGTGCCTGATAGGAAGTATTGGCTCAGTGAATACTGAATGAATGAACAAAACAATAATCACAGTCTTCAAAAAGCCTCGAGTATTTCAACTTCAGTATATTTCAAATTTTAAATTCATTTTACCATAAGAAACTAAAATTAAAAATCCCCCAATTTTGATGTAGGATAGGCAATCTCTATAGAATCATATTCAACACTAAATCAATTTATTTCCTGAGAAGTATTAGAACTTTACAGAAGTTTGAGCTAAGAACCTAATCTATAGCATCCCATTTACCAGAGTAACACTGAGAATATGGTGGCCCATCAGATGCTGCTTTTTAAAGTTAACATAATCTACAGATACATCAATAAAAGCAGTCTCCAGGTCAGGAAAAAAAAAGTGTCCTATGCAGTTTGGAGTACGTCACTTAAATTTTATTCACCATATACGTTCTAATGTTATTTCCAAAATAACCCCAGTAGGCCACAAGCTTTGACAATTTAACTCAATATCCCAGCACCTCTAAGCATGCACATAAAAATCTAGCTTTGAACTGGGGGTAAGTGAAATAATTTTTCAAATAAAAGCAAGATGATGTAAGCATTTGTCCAATTACCTCTTTGCAAATCTGCTTCATTGTGACTTCCTCCAAGTTAGCATTGGCCAATAATTTCTTTACTGTTTCCTTTAACTCTTCATCTGTAGGAGGTTTCTTCAATTTCTTAATTAAAGGTTCATCATCTGAACTATCCTCAGATTCACTTTCTAAAAGTAAGATATTTTACTACATTTGAATAAAAATTTTCTTATATTGCAAAATAAATTAATATTCAAGACAGACTAGAAAGACTTCCATAAGAAGCATTCATCAGATATCCTGAAGGGGTATTAGATCAAAAAAATATTCTAAATCACCACTCCATAAATTACTTTAAAATGTGTGGGAATTCTTGTCAATTTTGAAAAATTATAAACTATAAAAACTTGGTATACTACTTTCTCCCAATGTTCTTCACCATTTACTTATTTTCTACACACATTTAAGATGTTATAGCATATAAAGTGCACCCTGGAAGTGGCCGAGCATGTGTCATTTCTAGCATACCTTTTTTGGAGCTGTTTTGATTCTTCTTGGTGGTGCTGCTGTCTGCCTTCTTAACATTCGCACTTTTTACAGATTTCTTACTTTTAGAAGTAGCTTTCTGTTTAGGTTTTTCTCTTTTAGATGTCTTTTTTGGTGGCTGCTGGGAAGGAATGCAAAGGTACATACACTCATGAGATGACCTGCCATCCCTCTACACCGCTCAACAATGTTAGAGAAAATTAATGTATTCAATCAATATCACCAATGAAAATTATTACTTATCATCAATTTCTGAGACAACCAATATGCTCAACAAACTTACCTTTGTCTCAACACAAGACTGGCCACATGTGAAGCTCAGAAGCAAACACTAAGAATAGGAGATGCATCCCTTTATTCCACACTAGACAGCAAGCTTTACATGCGTTGCCTCACTTAATCCTGAAAAAAGCCTAAAATTTAGGTACTACTAATATCCTGCTATTTACTGTCAGTCTCTCTTGAGGAATGTGAGTTCCATGAGGAAAGGGATTTTTTCAGTCCTCTTAGGTTCACTAGGGGCCCCTAATTCCTAAAATAGTGCAGGATGCACAGCAGTTGCCCATTAACTGTTTATGAAATATGAGAAAATATAAGGCTCAGAGATTATTTTGTCCAGTCACATTAACTAACAGAGTGAGATTCCAACGACTCCAGAACCTGTGATCTTCACTGCCGATAAACCAAGTACAAAACACGTGCATGTTAAAGCAACAAGGTTACAGTTTATAGTCACTGAGTCCCACCAGTCTGTGAAATGAGGAAACATTAATTCCTCTTTAATTAATTTTCCCAAAGGTAAAATATAAGCAAATATCCCAAGATAACTTAAAATCTCATCTTTTCACACCAAAAATACTGCAAATCACTTTTGACAGGACGTCTCTCCAAAAGTTTTACACTCTTAATTTCTGATATTGAAATTCAACCATTTTTTAAAAGGTCAGAAATGTGACTCACCCTTTAAAAAAATTAATATGTATAGAAAAATCTGTTCCAAAAGTTAGGTGGGCTTGGCTATTTCTAAGTACAGTTTACTGGATTATTTATTTATTTATTATTTTGGTATCATTAATGTACAATTACAGAAAGGACATTATGTTTACTAGGCTCCCCCCTTCACCAAGTCCCCCCCACATATCCCTTCACAGTCACTGTCCAGCAGCGTAGTAAGATGCTGTAAAATCACTACTTGTCTTCTCTGTGCTGCGCAGCCCTCCCCGTACCCCCCATGCACTAGACATGCTGATCGTAATGCCCTCTTTCTTTCTCCCCGCCCTTATCCCTCCTTTCCCACCCATCGTCCCCTGTCCCTTTCCCTTTGGTAACTATTAGTCCATTCTTGGGTTCTGTGATTCTGCTGCTGTTTTGTTCCTTCAGTTTTCCTTTGTTCTCATACTCCACATATGAGTGAAATCATTTGGTACTTGTCTTTCTCCGCCTGGCTTATTTCACTGAGCATAATACCCTCTAGCTCCATCCATGTTGTTGCGAATGGTAGGATCTGTTTTTTTCTTATGGCTGAATAATATTCCATTGTGTGTATGTACCGCATCTTCTTTATCCATTCATCTACTGATGGACACTTAGGGTGCTTCCATATCTTGGCTATTGTCAACAGTGCAGCGATAAACATAGGGGTGCATCTGTCTTTTTCAAACTGGAGTGCTGCATTCTTAGGGTAAATTCCTAGAAGTGGAATTCCTGGGTCAAATGGTATTTCTATTTTGAGCATTCTGAGGAACTTCCATACTGCTTTCCATAATTATGGTTGAACTAGTTTACATTCCCACCAGCAGTGTAGGAGGGTTCCGCTTTCTCCACAACCTTGAATATGGCATGATTTTTAAGCACACAAATTAAGAGCAATAACAGTCTAAGTATAAAAATTTGCAGTGATAAAGGATAATCAAGCCATCTCCATAAAATGTTACTATGGGACAAACGTAAAGACTTAAAATGAGGCTATATTTAACATCATCTTCTAGAAGGGATAGTGTTCCAGTTTAAATGGACAACTAGCCTATAATCTATTAACAGGAAAATTCCACACATGGTCGTAAACACTACAGAGGCCTAACAGGAGAGGGTGTGGGCTCTGGGGGCGAGCTCCTTGGTTTCAAATCCTATCCCAGTACAGCTCGGGGCCCTACACTCCTCATTTACAAAATGAGGGAAATAACAGTACTTAATTATCTTATAGGAGTAAATGCATTAATATGGGGAAGTACTTTTATTGGTGCTGAGCACGTAGGAAAGAATATTAGCTATTGTTACCATTATGAGTGCTTCCTTTTGCAGTGAAAAAGAAACACTTTCATCATACAAACATAATTTCCTCCAATAACCTGAAGTTTGTTAAGATTTCTTTAAAGGCAAAGCAGACATGTAGAATACATACATAGAATGAAGGTGATTAGACTCAGTGGCACCTGTGTTAAACACGGTGCATCATGCTCATTCCATTACATTCAGGCAGACAGCACTGGGCTAACCAACACCCTCTCTGGCATGACAAACTACATTATTTATACTGTGTTTGACTTCTCTTTAATAACTGGTTAACAGATGATTCTGTGACAAGCTTAAGGTAGGGTTTCAGTGAACTCTCTTTAGGCTGATGAATGTTGCCATGAACAATGAAAGCTGAGAAGGGCAATGATCAAACTCAGTAGAAATGCGTCCCCTCAAGCAGGGAGGCAGTGAGATGACTGATCAGCCCACATCGTGTGCGTTAGCTCTGTATGTGTGGACACACTGCAGGTGCCCTCAAGTTATTAGGTATGGAAGGAAGAGGTCGACACTGGAAAATGGGACATCTCAAAGAACAGATCTGGTTTTTGGCAGTTAAGGTAAACATGGATAACCTGGAATTGTGGAGGTAATGGAAAGAGGTCCTGGGAGAGCTAAGAAAAATTAAACCATACACACTTAACTTTTACATGAACTTTCAAATCTTCGTTCATTTCCCCTCCTCTATTTAGGAAAATCTCACTCATGATTCTAATCCAACTTAGCAATCACCTACTCTAAACCTTTCATAACACCACCAATTTGATAAACCCACAGTGCCACATTGTCTGACGTACAACTCATTCATCCCTACTTTAGGGAAGGCGTTACGAAGCAGTGCTAAGAACCGGGTTTTAGAGCCAAACTTCCCGGTTCAAACCCTACTTCCACCATGGGCTGATTTTGCATTCTCAGAAATCCCTTCCCTGCCCTGTGCCTGTTTCCACATCTGTGAAATGGAGTAATAATACCAACTTTGTGGAATTTAACACTTTCCCCCCTACACATTTTATTTCAGACATTGGGGTACACTTTACAGTTTACATGAAAATGATGCCTTATAGGTCCTGTGGATTCAATGAACTATAGAATGAGGAGAACTGTTCTGAGGATCAAATGAGTAAGTATATGTAAGGCAGCAAACAAAAACATTTTTTGATGTACTTACAATTAAACTAGCTACTTCCATCTGTTTCCCCACTATACTGCAAGTTTCTTGAGGGCAAAGCTGACAACTTCCATGAGGAGAGAGACTGGACCATCTCATGTAGCTCTACCCACTCCCAGCAACTGGAGTGTTTGTATAAAGAAGCTACTTAAACATTTGTCATGTTTATCTCGGTGTCATCTGTAGGACAGAGCTTATTACTCTGAACCCAGGACATGGTTAAAAAAGGATTTGTCTAGCACTCCTGTCACATGCACTATCTCCTAAGAGCCAAGAAATAATCCGAAGGCAAGCAAAGCATTTATGTCATTAGAAATGGGGACACTGCCTCTGAGTGGTGAGCGAGCCAACGCCTTACAGCTCTAAGAACGAGACCTTTAAGCCCAGTGTGTCACCGACATTAGGTGCTTATAATGAGGACTAAGCTACCCATTCATTTCTTACCAAACTGAAGTATAGTAACAGCCAGTAATACTATAACCTATTTATTATACTATTAAATCTAACCTTTCCCATTACATACAAATGTCATTAATGGTGACAAAGATGACAAACGTCGGCACAAACCACGGAATGACAGGCCTCTGTATCAGGGCTATCTCTGGCCCTTGGCCTCCAGACTTTGTATGGGCTCCCAGGTCACATCTTCACATTTTTTTTAAAGCTAACATGTACCTGGTGTAATCCAATTTTGTATAAAAAATGTTTTCTCCAACTCCCTTTCTTTCATTATGCCAAGATGTCCTGTTTATCCTCTTAGAGTCAGATTGAACCATTACCTCCTGTGAAGGTTCTGTCTGGATCTCTGCTCCTCACATGCCCTAGAAAGAAGTAAATACGCAACTCCTGTGCCTCTGTTCTAGCCGACCGTATCTCCTCGGAGCTCTAAGTCATATTCTATTGTATTTTTTTCCCTCCTCATCTTTGACTTCTACCAACTAAACTGAACTTCTAAGGTATAGAGACACTCTGTCTTACTTGTTTATTTCCAGTGCAGATCTTAGATCTGGTCCTTAGTAGTTGCTGTGAAATTTGGAAAACTGAGATGGGAACAAGATCCTTGGATACTAGAAAACCTTTAATGATCTATTCCAACACTGCGGTTGTTCATTAGAATCACTCTGCTTGCTAAGACAAGCATGTTTTCTATTAATAACAGTTAGTCAAACTTCTCGATTGTAACATCACTGTCTTCTGGCACAGACTTGCCTATATGGTTGTACAGGAGGGAAAGGCCCCCATTAGGTCAAGTCATCAAGGGTGGTGCCTGGGTACCTATGTGTGTGTGTTTTTAAGCCCTACAGCTGACTCCTTCAGTGATAAACCATATAGAGTGAGAAGTGAATTTGTCAAGATTTGTCACCAAGCCTTTTCTATTAAGTGCCACATAAGTATTTTAGATTTTGCTAGCTACATACGGTTGGTTGTTTTTCATAAATCTTTTTAAAATGCAAAAGCCATTCTCGGCCTCCAGGCTATACAAAAACAGCCCAGTTTGCCAACTCCTGATCTAGATCATGAATCACTGGAGATACAAAGGTAAAAGACAGGAACCAGATAAAGCAATCATTAGGACAAACCCTCAAAAGTTTATACATTTGTGGCAAGAGCTTTTAGTTTTAAGTTTTTATAAGCAGAAGTGAATATACACTCATAGTAAG